TGGGGCAAGGGGAAACCTAGGGGTAGGGAAAGCGGAGGAAAACAGCCCGACAGAGGCTGCATGGAGCTGGCTTCTCCCACCTGACACAGTGCTTGGCACACGGAAGGCATTGAAACATTTTTTTCTTTAATAAGAAAATAAAAATCCGATGATTTCTTCCAGTTACAAGTCAGTCATTACCCAACAACCTCTCTCCCACAAAACGAGGATTTTTGTTGGAGACTCATTTGCCTCCATAAATCCCTGACAGTTACAGAAGGTCAGTCATTTGCTCCGCAGCCAACAGGTTCCACCACGTCTATAATCCTCTTTTTACTAAATTGGGCTTTGGAATCTTGTATTATTTGCTATACTGCTTACATCATTGTGTGACTTTGAGCAAATCACAGGCTTCATCTCACTGAGATCGTTTTTTTCTTTTTGTTTTTGAGACAGGACCTTGCTTTCTCACCTAGGCTGGAGTACAGTGCCACGAACATGGCTCACTGCAGCCTCGACCTCCTGGACTCAAGCCTGACATTGCTTTTGTTTGCAAAGTGGGGATAATAACAGTGCCCAACCTCTTAAAGTTGTTTTGACCATTGCAAGGTTGTGCCTGTAAAGTACTACCTACAATGCCTGTAATACAGAAAAAAATCTGATCTCAGCTTTTACATTTTTTTTTATAGGCTGTGGGGAAGGGGCTATAATACCATTCATTGGTGCAATACTTAAGGTTTTTCAAACCCTTTCAGGTATCTTCTTTCACAGCCACCCTGTAAAGTCAACTTTCTTGTATGCAATTTCAGACGGGAGAGGAGACTAAGATAGGTGCAGGGATTGGCCAAACATTCAGTCATTAGTAGAGCTAGGACTCAAACCCAAAGTTTCTGAGTCTAAGTCCAGTTATAATAATAGTAAACATTAAAAAAAGAAAAAGGAAAAGAATAGTAAACATTGAGGCTGGGCACGGTGGCTCACACTTGTAATCCTAGAGTGAGACTCTGTCTCACAAAAACAAACACACACATTTATTATTGTTAGACGTTTTTCAGGTGTAAATTCATTTAATCATCACCAGAATCCTATGCAGTAGGTACTGCAATTGTCATCTCCACTTTACAGGTGAGTACTTTTTTCAGTCCGGCTCATGTAGTTAATTCATATTGAGGAGACTGGGAAGATTTTCTGGTTCGCCAGGAAGATTTTCTTCTGCTGGCCCTACTTAGCGGCACTTAGCGGCACTCCCCAAGCAGTGCTATCCTCACGTCACTTCTGAGTTTTCTTTGATGGTTTGCTTTATTTCATTCATTCAACGTGTATGCATTAGGTTTTGTTGTTGTTGTTTGAGATGGAGTTTTGCTCTGTTGCCCAGCCTGGAGTGCTGTGGCACCATCTTGGCTCACTGCAACCTCCGCCTCCAGGGTTCAAGCAACTCTCCTGCCTCAGCCTCCCGAGTAGTGGGATGACAGGTGTGCATCACCATGCCCGGCTAATTTTTGTATTTTTGGTAGAGATGAGGTTTCACCATATTGGCCAGGCTGACCTCGAACTCCTGACCTCAAGTGATCCACCCACCTTGGCCTCCCAAAATGCTGGGATTAGAGGCGTGAGCCTCAGCGCCCAGCTCTTTCTCACTTTTAATCTTTCAGCAAGCACTCCTGCCATCTCCACCCTACCCCCAAACAATACTGTCATCAAAATGTTCTTATTCTCCTCTCCTGCTAGATTCTTGATCATGTTTCCTGAGTTGATTTAAATTCATTGGTATCCTTGTTTCCAAATTTTCTTTTTTAAAAAAATTTTTTTAAGACATAGTTTTGCTCTTGTCGCCCAGGCTGGAGTGAAGTGGCTCAATCTCGGCTCACTACAGGCTGTGCCTCCCAGGTTCAAGCAATTCTCCAGCCTCAGCCTTCTGAGTAACTGGGATCATAGGCGCCTGCTACCAGGCCCAGGTAATTTTTGTATTTTAGTAGAGACGGGGTTTTGTCATGTTAGCTGGGCCTGTCTGGAACTCCTTACCTCAGGTGATCTGCCTGCCTCAGCCTCCCAAAGTACTGGGATTACAGGCCTAAACCACCACACCCAGCCTGCTTCCAAATTTTTTTTTTTTTTTTTTTTTTTTGAGACGGAGTTCCACTCATGTTACCCAGGCTGGAGTGCAATGGCGCGATCTCGGCTCACCGCAACCTCCGCCTCCTGGGTTCAGGCAATTCTCTTGCCTCAGCCTCCTGAGTAGCTGGGATTACAGGCACACGCCACCATGCCCAGCTAATTTTTTGTGTTTTTAGTAGAGACGGGGTTTCACCATGTTGACCAGGATGGTCTCGATCTCTTGACCTCGTGATCCACCCGCCTCGGCCTCCCAAAGTGCTGGGATTACAGGCTTGAGCCACCGCGCCCGGCCTGCTTCCAAATTTTTAATCCCAGCTGGGCCCTGTGGCTGCGCCTATAATCCCAGCACGTGGGGAAGCCAAGGCAGGTGGGTCACTTGAGGTCAGGAATTCGAGACTGGCCTGACCAACATGTTGAAACCCCATCTCTACTAAAAATACAAAAATTACCTGGGTGTGGTGGTGCATGCTTGTAATCCCAGCTACTTGGGAGGCTGAGGCGGGAGACTCGCTTAAACCTGGGAGACATCGCAGTGATTTGAGATCCCGCCATTGCACTCCATCCTGGGCAACAGAGGGAGACTCCGTTTCAAGAAAAAAAAAAAAAAAGAGAACTTTCAATCCATGCCCTGAAAACTAATCATCTGCCTTTTCCCACTTCTCATTGTTCTCTTCAACAATGACTCTTCAAATTTCTACTTTTATTTCCCTTCTCTTCTGCTGCCAGACAAGAGAGCACTTCTCTCTGCTTTCTTTACCTAACTTTTTCTCTCAATTTCACACCTCTGGTACTATCCCTCAAGATACCCACGTTGTCTTTTCAGAATTTACTTTAAACCCCAGAATCTTCCCTGATTAAATATTTAGAATTCCTTTTTATTTTCATGCTCAACCAGCAATGTCTCCCATTACCCACATTTCCCTGCCTTACATATGAGAAGAAAAACCACCCACAAGCACTGCTTTCTACAAATCCCTATCTTTGTCGCATTTCACCTGCTAAATGCTAGCCTCTGTAAGAAATCAGGGATTTTGTCTTAGGGGATGTGCTCTGTGTTCACATACTTTAGTAACATGCACAGGATAGCACCCCGTGAGAAATGAATTCCGAGTCAAATGAAATTTAACTGGAAGCTACTAGAAAAATAGCAACAAAAGATGTCATTTCTTCATAAGACAAAAATTTGGCATGTGTCTCTTGAGATATCAGAATTTAATAATAAATCCTGCCTGAGTTTTGGGGGTCATACATTGAGAATGCTGTTTTGGTTTCTTTCTTTCTTTCTTTTGAGATGGAGTCTTTCTGTGTCATCTGGCTGGAGTGCAGTGGCGCAATCTCGGCTCACTGCAACCTCAGCCTTCGAGGTTCAAGAGATTCTCCTGCCTCAGCCTCCCGAGTAGTAGTAGCTGGGACTACAGGTGCATGCCACCACACCCGGCTGATGTTTGTATTTTTAGTAGAGACGGGGTTTCACCATGTTAACCAGGGCGCACCCAGCCAGTTTTTGTTTTTGTTTTTGAGGGAGTCTCCCTTTGTTGCAACCTCTGCCTCCTGGCTTCAAGTGATTCTGCTGCCTCGGCCTCCTGAGTAGCTAGGATTACAGGCACATGCCACCACGCCTGGCTAATTTTTTTGTATTTTTAGTAGAGGCGGGGGTTTTACCATGTTAGCCAGGCTGGTCTTGAACTCCTGACCTCAGGCAGTCTGCCTGCTTCAGCCTCCCAAAGTGCTGGGATTACAGGCGTGGGCCACCCAAGAAATGACACTACTGTTTTGAAATGACACTACAGTTTACTGCCTATCATGCGCCAGAGGCTTTTCAGGCATTTAAATGTTATCTCACTTTAGTTTGCATCTCCATGAGGTAAATATTATTAGCTTCATTTAAGAGAAGAGGAAGACTGAGGCACAAAGATTATCAGTAATTTGCCTAGTGGTTCCTGCTGAGTAATTAGCAGAGCTAAGATCCTAATTCAGTCTCTTTGAGACCAAAGCCAGACACTTGGTTCATGTCTGAAGATGCAACTCAACTGCTGTATTAATCAGGGTTCTCCAGAAGGACAGAACTAATAGGATAGATGTATGTATAAATGGGAGTTATTAAGGAATATTGACTCACATGATCACAAGGTGAGGTTCCACAACAGGCCGCCTGCAAGTTGAGGAAGGAAGCCAGTCTGAATCCCAAAGCCCAAGAACTTGGAGTCCGATGTTCGAGGGCAGGAAGCCTCCAGCACCGGAGAAAGATATAGGCTCGGAGGCTAAGCCAATCTCGTCTTTCCACATTCTTCTATCTACTTTTATTCTGGCTAAGCTGGCAGTTGATTAGATTGTGCCCACGCAGATTGAGGATAGGTCTGCCTTTCCCAGTCCATTGATTAAAAGGTTAATCTCCTTTGGCAGTACCCTCCTAGACGCACCCCGGAACACTACAACAACCCAGTCAAGTTGACAATATTAACCAGCACAAGTCCACCTCTTGTCAACTTAAACTCATACACGTCTCCTGAAATCGTACATAATCTTCAAATAAAGACAATAATAAGGTCATAATTCGCTTAACATAATACAGTTATCCTTCATACAACCGGAAACACACCAGTCCCCAACCCAAATGCTATTACATAGAGATAACAACACTTAAATGTTGATATGAAGTCAGTAAGTCCTATCATGATAAAGGCAAAAAAGAAAGGAAATAAAATGAAGGTGTTTTCTTAGTACAAGTGTATATATGCACAAACATGTTCCTAACACAAGGAGGAGGAAATATTCATGTCAATTACAGTCCTCGGTTCTGCAACTGGTCACATGGTCATAGCTGGTATCAATGACTACCTTCTTTGACTACCCATTCTGTATTCCCTTTGCCTTCAGCAAGCACCTCAGCAGGTTGTGGTTTTTAACCTGGGGGAGTGACCCAAACCTTCATTCCTGAAGGGTCTGGGTCATTTGTAGTCCTGCCTGGATTGGGCAGTTGTAGTTTCCATTGACCTTACTCACAGGGCATGGTAATATTAAGAAACGCCCTAATGGATCTCCTGTATTCCACGAATGCTCTTCCTTCCCTCCATTGTGGAGTAGTAGACTGATTTCATCTTGATAGTCTGGGTCAGTCACCCCAACCAACACTGTAATTCCCTTACTAGCCTGTTGACTTAAAGGTAAGAAGAGCCCAAAGTGTCCAGGTGGCAATCTTAACTTCCAGTTTAATGGAATCGTTGTTGTGTCTCCTGGTGGCAGCGTTCCTCCCTCTGGAACTGACCTCTAGGCCAGCAGAAAATAATGTCATGGGAAGACGGCTATTTTAGAAACATCGATATGCAAGGGTCTGTAGTAGGCATTGCAGTCCTGGAATGTAGAGAGCGATTTCCCAGAAGACCTGTCTCAGAAAGTTTACAGCCCAGAAGAGAACTTCATATAATGTAGGTGTCTCTATTCATGAAGCATCTATAATTTGGAGGTAGCTAATAAGAGGTTCCCGCATGCAAAATGTCACATTGGGTCTATGACTCCTTTAAGAGTATTAAACCGAAGCTTTGAGGCTCGGTACAAGTTTGGGGGCACAGTTTGCCATCCATGACAATTAGTACATCTGTCTTTTCCCTGCTTCGGGGCTGGTGTCCAAGCTGAAATGGGAAAGTGTATCATCTTAAATGTGTGTGTGCTGCCTCTCTCTGCATCCATCTCTTGCTTCGCCAGCCTTGCCACCTCCTTTCCTCCAGCCCTGCCTCCCTCCCTGCATCCTTGCCCAGCCCTGTCTTTCCCCCAGGTTCTTCCTATCTCCTTGGCCACACTGCCTTCCTCCCTAACAACCTGCCTCTCCTCTTGCCCACCATGGAAGCCACATCCCTCTGTCCCCACTCCTCTAGCCCCATCCCTCGAAGCCTGCCCCCTCCCTCCCTTCCTTCCGACCCGCCTCCTGTGTCTCCCAGCCCTGCTCTGACGTGGGAGGTGGGGGGGGTGGGGGGATGGATGACTCACAGTGTTATGATGCAGTTCCACAACACACAGCCACATTCACCCACAGACCGAGGTACAGAACGAGAGACAACCTCTGCCCCCCCAGCAGCTGGCCAGCTTTGCAGCCCCAGTCTTGAGCCCCCAACTACCCTCCCCCCACCTGCCCCCATCTCCTTCCCAATTGAAGGAGCGGAAAGAGAAGAGAGAAGAGTGAGCAGAGAGATTGAGAGATTGAGAGAGAGAGAGAGATAGACGGAGATCTCTGGAGCAGACCTCAAGGTGAGGGGGCAGCCCTTCTCCAAATGAATTTTTTTTCCTTTTGCAAATTTCCTCCTCCTGCTGCGTGTTGCTTTCTCCCCTTTGCAAAAGCATTATTCATCCACCCTTTGTCCTCCCTTCCCCCTCCCCGCTGCCTCCGCTCCTCTCTCTCGGTTCCTCCATCCCTCTCCAAGCTCTCTCCAAGCTCTGACGATTCCCGCACTTATTTCCCGGCAACTCTGGCTGCACCATCAGGCATCACTGTTTATTGTTTTGCTGGTGGTGCAGACCCCCAAAGCCCGCCCTGGGAGCTGGCGGTGCTGCTAATTATTTGGACCATACCATACTGAGAATACCAGCCTGGGGGGTGCCAAAACCTCAGAGCAGATGAGAAAATCCATTGTGAGCAGGTGTCCCCCTGCCTTCCCCATCCCCCGCCCTTCCGAGAGGCACGAGGTTCGCACCTGGTTCCTCCAGCCTCCGCCTCGGTGCCTCTGCTGTCAGCTGTCAGTTGCCCCCGCCAGCCCTCCCTCTCCCCTTCCTCCCACGGTCCAGCCCCGTCTCATTTCAGGGGAACATCCTCTCCCCAGCCCTCGGCTTGCCTTTGTTTTTTCTCGTCATTCACCCAACTTGCTTCTCCCTGTGATCTGAGACGGGCGAGAAAATGACCCCTACTCCCCTTTCTGTGATTCTCTGGCCTTCCGCACAGCCTCTCCTTGGCTCAACTGGGAAGTAGGGGAGAGGGAGGGAGGCGTGACGGCCGGAGTCTGGAGGAGTCCAAGCTTGGGGACCCGCGCTGCCCGGTTCCCCATGCCCCTTGAAGAAGGTATTTCAAGGTGGTGCATGTCAGAGGGGAACCCACAGGCAAAGTTGGAGGCAGACCTGTGAAGCAGAGACTGAAGGGTGGTCTCCTGGCGAGGAGGGCCTGTTCGCTGCAGCTGGAGCCCAATGTCACCCCGAACTCAGCCCAAGGTGTCTTCCTGGGGCTCAGCCAGGAGGAGAGGACCTGGAACTGAAGATAGTCTCTATGGAGGTTTTGCGGAGAGACTGCCTGGCGGCCTTCTGAGAGAGAGGAACAGCTGGGTGCTGTGGCCACTGCAGAGGACAGGACGAGGAAAGCCTGTATGCCCTGGCTAACTGGAGCCAACGCTCTGGCATTGCCAGAGCACCCAGCTGGCATCTCTGAACCAGACTTAGGCTAACCAGCCACAGCGGGCTGGGAAGCCCCATGGAGAAAGCAGCAGCTCACCTGCTTATCAGAGCCGACAGGGGCCACCTCCCTCCTTATCCTCTCCCTCCAGCACCCTCAGCCACTCGGAGGCTGGTGCGTGGGCAGAACACAATCTTCCTCAAGATTCCTAATCAGAACCCAGCAATTACTTCATCTTCAGTCACCCAGAGTCACTGCTGTTTGTCCCTGCCTCGGGGAGCAGGTAGAAAGAAACATTTTCTGCCTCATGCCCCAAAGTGCAGCTGTTTAAGGGTCCCCCTTCTGCCGTTGGTTGTGGCCGTTGCTCTCACGCTACCACACAGCCCAGCCCAGCCCAGGAATCAGGCTTCTCCAGCACGCTACTCGTTTCCCATTGGCTCCAGCTGTCAGACTGCCTGAAGGAAATGTATTTTCTGCCTAAGTCTTTAACCAAGGGCTAAGGCCACAGTTAGTAAAGAATAGGAGAAAGACCTAGGGGCTCAGAGGCTGGGAAGATGGCCAAGTGCTTATTCTGGGCCAGAATGAATGAACTAAGGTGTGGGATCCGGCGGCCACATGTGAGGTCTTTGGGACTGTTGGAAACATCTACAAAGTTCTAGTGAAGAGTCCCAGAGTGCAGGACCCTGACCTTGGGAGAGAGCTGAATTAGGGTTTGTATACCTGCCTGCATGCTCCCCCTCCCTCAACTTACCCCAGCCTCCCACACACAATGTATAAAGGACCAATTGTACTGTAAACGAAGGCCAAGGAAAAGAAAGACCTTCAGGCATCCCCAAGTCTTAAAAGGCTCTGATCCCAAGACGCGGTGCCTACCGATGCCGATGCCGGTGCGATGAACGGAAAAGCAAGGAGAGGCCACTGGCAGATGACGTTGCTCCCATGGCAGCGTTTGTGCCCGTGGGCTGCTCTCTGTGGAAAATGGTGGAGGTTGCTTCTGCCCCTGGAGAGAGAAACACCGATTACCTGGCTTTGGCACCAGAAGCCTGAACTGGCTGCCAGGTTTGCCAGAGCAGAATGGGGATCCAGGGGACAGGGCGACAATGCTACTGGATGCCGAGGGGGGTTGATGGCGATGGGGGACGTAGAGGTATGGGGGAGCCGAGCCCCTTTTCCTCCAGTCCCTCAGGAGGGGTCCTCATGAGGTCACAGCTCCCCTGATGTACCTTTCCCTCTTCCCAGGTGATTTCTATTTCTATCTGGTTCTCGTCTGGGGGGGCCCTGGCCGGGCAGCCCCCCAACATTTCTCCTGCCCTGAAACACGGCTCTAGCCAACCTGCTCCGCTGCTTCACCTGCGACCGTCTCTGCGGGGGCTGCACAGCGCCAGCCCCTCCAGCCCGCCAGGGCATTGTCCTCCAGCCCGTCATGCCCAGCTGTGACCCCGGTCCGGGCCCTGCCTGCCTCCCCACCAAGACTTTCCGCAGCTACCTGCCCCGCTGTCACCGAACTTACAGCTGCGTCCACTGCCGTGCACACCTGGCCAAACACGATGAGCTTATTTCCAAGGTATGCTAAGTGGGGGCCTGCCATTCCCCTCTTCTCGAGCACCAGGCTAACCCGATAATCATCCAGGGGTGCAGCAGCAAAGCTCTTCCTCTCCCCCACGCCCCTGCTGGGATTCAGGCAGTGGGGCTGAGGGCTGCTTAGTAGTCACTGTCTGTCCCGTGTTTCTACAGTCCTTCCAAGGGAGCCATGGCCGAGCCTACCTGTTTAACTCCGTGTGAGTCTACCTCTTTCCTTGTGCGTGTGCTTATGTGTGAGTGAGTAATTTCCCTCTGCGGAGAAAGGGGGGAGTCCATCAGGGGATCTTGTGCCTTCAGTCTTTGCCTCCCCTTTGGCAAAGGGGTTCAGTCTGAAGTTCTCTTACGGGGGGCCTGGGAAGCATTGAAATCCTAACATTGGAAAAAGAAGGCCCAGGTTCTAGTCTTAAAGGGGTGGATTATTAAAGGCAGGGGCTGTCCAGTTCTCTACAGATGGAAGTTCCTTTGGGCTGTCTGGGGACTGGACTGACAGGGCAACCCCACGGGGTGCTGGGTCCTTCCTGTTTCCTGAGACAGGGTCAACGTGGGCTGTGGGCCGGCTGAACAGCGCCTCTTGCTCACGGGACTCCACTCGGTAGCTGACATTTTCTGTGAGAGCTGCAAAACCACACTGGGCTGGAAATATGTAAGTACCTCCGGAAGAGGGTCACCCTCTAAAGTGGCAGTCCCTGTGGCCCTCCGAGCCCCAGTGACCACATCAGGTCCTTGGATGGTCCAAAGAAGAAAGTAAGAACTAGTCACTGGGTTGGGTTAGTGGAGGACCCTTGAGGTGGGGACCTGTGTGGTGGTGGTGGTGGGGCCTGGAACAAAACTGCCTTGTCCTACAATCGCTGCTTTCTCCTCCCCCAGGAACAAGCTTTTGAGACAAGCCAGAAGTACAAGGAAGGGAAATACATCATTGAAATGTCACACATGGTGAAGGACAACGGCTGGGACTGAGGGGCTCAGGCAGGGTGTGCCCTTCCTCCGCATGCCCCTCCTTCCCCATGGCCCTGCCAAGCAGTCCATACCAGCATGAGTACTGCCCCACCCCTGGGGGAAACCTGGCTCCAACCAACCCCTCCCCTGCCTCCACCATATCCACTACCAGGCACCCTTTGGAACAGGGGTCTGGGGGTACCCCAGGGGTGTTAAGGCTCAGGAGTGGGCAGCAGTCAGGGAGAGACAAAACTGGGGGAAAGGGATAGTTGTGGGTCCTTCTGTTCCCAAGATCTTGAAAATCCAGGCGAAGGCAGGGTGTAGATTCAGGCGGAGAGGATTGTGGGAGGAATCCATTTTTGCCCCACCTCTTTTTGCGTGAACAGAGGACAACCTTGGGTCATAGGGCTAGTAGACCGTGGGCCACAGAATAGCAGAGGAGAAAAGGCTTGGGTTGGAGTGAAATTTTGGTCTTAGACACCAGGAGAGACCAGAGTCTCTGAGGATGAAGTTTCCCACCCCTATTTATAGGGGAAAGGGCTCAGGGGTGCAGGGAAACTCAAATCCCAGGCCCTGGGAAATAGTACAAGAATCAAAGGGGTTTTCATTTCACTCCACTTGTTTATCTTGGCACTGAAGAGGCACTTTCGAGTATCTAACTTTTGCCATTGGGTGGGGCGAGGACAGCTGCACCCGGAATAGCCCCCACCCAGTCGGCTGCTTCCAGAGCAAGCAGTCTTTATGGGCTTTCTGAGGCCCAGTCACTGCTCCTGGGACCCAGTCCCCTAGAGGGGAGGTGGAAAATCAGTGCTACGGGGCCAGTCTTTTCCGTGGCTGCCACCAGCGAATGAAACTTTTGTATGATACATAAAGTGCTTGGGTCTATTTTTAATAAAAAGGGAAAAAGCAACTGGAGGCCACCTGTCCTCTGACTTTCTTTCCCGGTGCATGTGCCATAAACTACCCCCGTCACACACACACACACACGCCCCACCCACTCACCTGGGCCTGTCCCTTTAGACCACGAGGGGGCAGCAGTTGCCTCGTCTATGGCAAGACTGCCGCTTGAGCTTTGACCAGGGGATAAGCGTTCAGGTGAGGTTTCGCCTAGTAAGGGGTGGGTTTTGCAAGCTCTTCCAGCTAGAGCATCCCAAACCACTTGTGTCTGTTGGCATCCCTGACAGTAAGTCCATTTTTGCCTAGATCCAGGATTAGGCAACTGAAAGAGGCTCATCTCAGAATAAGGATTTTCTCGAGTCCCAAGGCGTTTTTCAGTCTGGTTTTGTAATGTTCTGGTCAGCTCATGGACACGCCTAAGGCTAAAAGGAAAACCAATCAGCCAAAGTGATGCCCTGGCAGGTGACCGGAAGTGAAACCAAATAGCTCAAAAATTAGGCCGGGCGCGGTGGCTCATGCCTGTAATCCCAGCACTTTGGGAGGCCAAGGCTGGTGGATCACCTGAGGTCAGGAGTTTGAGACCAGCTTGGCCAACATGGCAAAACCCCATCTCTACTAAATATACAAAAATTAGCTGGGCATGATAGTGGGTGCCTGTAATCCCACCTACTCTGGAGGCTGAAGACAGGAGAATTGCTTGAATCTGGGATGTGGAGGTTGCAGTGAGCCGAGATGGCACCATTGTACTCCAGTCTGGGCAACAACAGTGAAACTCCATCTCAAAAAAAAAAAAAAAAAGAAAGAAAGCAGCTCAAAGTTGCAGCATCAGTGCTACCCTGTGACCCAAGGAGCATTTAATTGGCAGTGATATGAAATCCCCAGTGTTGTCGGGTACCTAACAGTTACGGGGGAGACCATATACATCATAAAGATCACTTTTTGGTAAACTATGTTATTTCCAAATTCATTCATTAATATTCCAAATATTTATAAAGCACCTATTATTTGCCAGGTGTTGTGTGAAGCACTGGATGTTAAGCACAGGGTGAAGATGAGGCACCTGTGGGCTGCAGCTTTCTGTCTAGTAGGAAGAGACGCAGTAACCAGGCAATCCCAGTAGGAGATGATAATAAGGGCTCTGAGCAGGGATGTAGAGGAAGCTTGGGAGCTCATAGGAAAGGAACGCAGCCTAGAATTGAGGAGTCAAGGAAGGCTTCACAGAAGTGATTATTATGATGGCATCTGAAAGATGAGAAGTTGGGTAGGCAAAGGGCAAGAGTGATGGAGGTATTTCAGAGGGAACTGTATGTGTCAAGTAACTGAAGTTTAGTTAGTTGGAGGCAATAAAAGTTTCTTGTGGGCTGAAAGCAGTGACTCACGCCTGCAGCACTTTAGGAAGCCAAGGCTGGAGCTTGCTTGAGGCCAAAGTATGAGGCTAGCCTGGGCAACATAGCAAGATCTTGTCTCAAAAAAAAAAAACAAAACAAAACAAAAAAACGCCATACCTGCACCTGTAGTCCCAGCTACTCAGGAGACCGAGCAGGAGGATCGCTTGAGCTCAGGAGGCTGAGGTTGCAGTGAGCCATCATCACGCCACTGCACTCCAGCCTGGGTGACAGAGCAAAACCTGTCTTCTTAAAATTATGTTTCTTGATTGGGCGTGGCGGCTCACACCTGTAATCCCAGGACTTTGGGAGGCCGAGGCAGGTGGATTACCCGAGGTCAGGAGTTTGAGACCAGCCTGACCAACATGGTGAAACCCCATCTCTACTAAAAAAAAAAAAAAAAAGTACAAAAACTAGCTGGCCGTGGTGGCGGGTGCCTATAATCCCAGCTACTTGGGAGGCTGAGGCAGGAGAACCGCTTGAATCCGGGAGGTGGAAGTTGCAGTGAACTGAGATTGCACCATTGCACTCCAGCCTGGGCGAGTAAACCAGTCCCGTCTCAAAACAAAAAAGTTTCCTGTGGCTGGAGTATAGGCATTAAGTGGGGGAGAGACAAGCAGGAGCCATAAACTATTTAGGGAATCTAGATTTCATCCCAATAGTATTAGGGAAATATGGAAAAATTGTTTTTTAGAACGGAGTGGCATTATCAAATGGCTATTTGTGCCCAGACAAGAGGCTCAAATAGAAATTTTAATAGACCGGAGAAAGTTGAACATACGGCCAGGTGCAGTGGCTCACGCTTGTAATCCCAGCACTTTGGGAGGCTGGAGTGGGTGGATCACTTGAGGCCAAGAGTTTGAGACCAGCTTGGGCAACAAAAATTAGCCAGGCGTGGTGGTGCACACCTGTAATCCCACCTGCTCAGTAGGCTGAGGCAGGAAAATCACTTGAACTAGGGAGGCTGAGGTTGAAGTGAGCCGAGATCGCGCCACTGCACTCCAGCCTGGGCGAGAGTGAGACTCCATCTTAAAAAAAAAAAAAGTAAAGGACATAAAGCTAACTGTACTGACTCAAATACTATTGTTGTGATCAGAACACAGAGGCTGTCTGGGTAGGAGAAAGGATGACTAGAACTGGAAGGCACAGAGGTGAATGGACAAGGGAAAAAGGCAAGCCATGGAGAAATGACTTCCAGCATCCACCAATCGAGACGTCAGGGGAGTGTGACCCAACATTCAGTTTCTGCATGCCTAGTGATGCCAAGATCCCTCTTGGGGTCCAGCAGAGGACTCCAAAACCCTATCCTTCTTGGACCCACTTCTTGCACCAAAGTTTAGGAAGATTTCTCAAGTCCCAAACTCTGCTCTTGAAAATCAGGCACACATTAGCTGCCTTCTTAAAGAAGCTCCCCAAATATTCCTCTCGTTCAATTTATTTTAACAAGTTCTCATTAAGGCTACTAGGTGCTGTGAGAGACAGAGAAGTAAATGGCAGAGCTGTTGTTCTCAAATTCTTTTTTTTTTTTTTTTAATTGAGAGAAAGAGTATAGCTCTGTTGCCCAGGCTGGAGTACAGTGGCACAATCTCGGCTCACTACAACCTCTGCCTCCCAGATTCATTCAAGTGCTTCTCCTGCCTCAGCCTCCCAAGTAGCTGGGATTTACAGGTGCACCGGCTGATTTTTTTAGTAGAGGTGGGGCTTCACCATGTTGGCCAGGCTGGTCTTGAACTCTTGACCTCAGGTGATCAGTTGGCCTCAGCCTCCCAAAGTGTTGGAATTACAGGAGTGAGCCACTGCGACCGGCCTCAAATTCTTTGTAATCAGTCCTGAAGAATCATTCTGTGGGTTGATTTGATAAAATCCTATTAGTCTCTAAGATTAAGTCATGCGCAATGCTGTCCAAATCTTGGTTGCCCAGACAGGTATGCCCTCAAGCAGCATTATTTTTTAAAGTTATTTTATTATTATTTTTTTTTTGAGAAAGAGTTTTGCTCTTGTTGCCCAGGTTGGAGTGCAGTGGTGCAATCTCGGCTCACTGCAACTCCGCCTCCCGAGTAGCTGGGATTGCAGGCATGTGCCACCATACCAGGCTAATTTTTGTATTTTTAGTAGAGACAGGGTTTCTCCATGTTGGTCGGGCTGGTCTTGAACTCCTGACCTCAGGTGATCCACCTGCCTCGGCCTCCCAAAGTGCTGGGATTACAGGTGTGAGCCACCACCCCTGGCCTCAAGCAGCATTATTACCAAACACCTGTGACCAAGAGGGAGTGGTGCTGAGAAAGGCAAGTGGATTCAGGGAAGGAGCTGCAGGTATGGGATGCCAGGAGCACACAGGTTCTTTTCTTTGGGGAGCAATCCTTTCAAGTTAACCCCTTTTCCTTTCTGGTGCATTCCTTTATTTCTCTCTCTCTTTCTCTCAAGGAGGCCTACTCTGCACTAATAGTGATTCTCCTAATCTTTTCCCACTCACTTTCCATCCCAGGCTGAGTCTGGGAACCCTTAGCCTTCTTAGCCTAGGGGCTGCCACCACTTTTAGTCCTTAAAAGCTTCAGGCTCTGGAAGATACCCTCATACAACCAGCAGATGGCATCAAAACCTTCCACCCCCTCAGCTCAGGAACTCTCCTAGTTTAAAGAACCTACTCAGATCTCTCCAGATGGACCTACAAAAAGATGAGTGAGCCGTCAACACTGAAGACAGGCTTGTGTCTTGGCTTTGCAACCCTAAGAGCTACACAATCTCAGCCAAACTGTTTAAACCTTTCTGATCCTCAGTTTTTTCATCCGTAGAATGGGGCTGTTACCTTCTAAGAAGCTATTAGGGCTCACGGTAACAGAGGCGGTGTGTATCACAAGCATTGCACACAGCAGTAGCTCCATAAATGTGAGCTATTAGTAGAACTACTAAGTGAGGCTTCCCAGATTCCCACCATGGTAGCTGATTGGTGCCCAGATGGGAGGGGGAACTGCAATGCTGAGGAGGCAGCCAGCGCTGGGTAGCACTACCCGGCCAATGCCCTTTTAACATTGCACTGCTAGTGACAGGTGCAGACAGTAGCACAATGTGAAAAGAGCTCTGGCCAGCAGCAGAGGCATGCTGGCCCTGCCTCCTCACCCCTTCTCCCAGTTCCTGGCCCACTCAGCTCACAGACTCCCTCCACCCCTTCTTTACTTCAATACAGCATTTTCCCCCTTTTATTCCACTCTTAAGTGTTAATTCTATTTTTCCCCCAACTCTTCCTTTGGCCTTCTTCCTCACCCCCTCCCCAGCACAGAGACCACCTTTTTCTTGGAGGTTTTGGGATGGGAGGACAGGGCCCACTAAGGCAGCTGCAGGGATGCTTCAAGCTTGATGCTCAGTCCTCAAAGAAGATGAGATATTAGCAAGCCCCAGAGTCTGGAGGTCACTCACACGAGGCTGTGTTCATCTGGATTTGCACTTCTGCCAGCTTCCCTTCTAGAGAGGAGCCTGCTGCCCAAGACTCTTCTCTAAGATTCTATCTCCTTTTTAATTTAGATAAATGGGTGCTCTAGGCCTCAAGGCAACACTCTCAAGATGACCTTTCAGGACCAGAAAGGTGGGAGCCTGTAGTCACAGCTCCCCAGGCAGTAGAGAGGAGCTTCCAGGTGA